TTGTGTATTCAACTGCATAATTAGATTAACATTGTTTCCTTTTTTCTATAGCTAGCTGATTACTAACAAACTTTCTTTATAGTATAGAAATTCATAGAAAATAATTCTTGAACAAGTTTATTTTTCTTTATTAATTGTTTGATTCCATAATTATTTATTCAACTAAATGATTTTTGATGAAAATCTTCAGTTCTTTTCCCATTAATTTAATAAAATAAACAGTGTTAAAAATCTTTAGAAAAACTTTTAAATTTTGTACTCATTTTTTTAAACTAATTATTTCCAGGTCGAGTCCCATCGATCGTATACGGCCGCGTACTCATCAACTACGAAGACATACGATAACAGTTTATAGGAGTCTTCTATCGTTGTAGGAGATGAGAGTGTGATGTTGAGGTAGGTTTGGCTGTGAGGTGAACGTGTTAATGTTCTTTCTGCTCACACACATGTCTGTCCTATAGAGATATCTTTTATACAAATGTTGGCTCTCTACAACCTAGAGTGTGAGTCAGATCTTAGGCTACGTCCACACCCACCCACATCCTGACCTGTCTCTCGAAAAAGAAAGCCTCCTCAGTATTACTATGAACTAAAAAATACAAGGCACTAAAAATGCACCTTGCATCCATTGTATCTCCTTTTTCCCAATAAAAAATGTAACCTTAAAAAATACACTCAAATCTCTGTACTCTTTGTATTTCCTCCTTTCTTCGTCAAAAGTGTTGTATTTTTCGTATCAAACCTTTTGGATAAAAAAATGTAACTTCAAAAATACACTCCAATCTTGACTTTCTTGTATCTTCTCTTATCCAATCTTTGCTTTTTGTACCTTCTCCTATCCAATCTTTACATTTTGTATACTTTCTCGTTACCAATAAAAAATGTAACCTTAAAACAACATACTTCAATCTTTACATAGTGTATATTGTTCTTCCTCAATAAAAAAATACAACTGAAAAACATACTCTGATACCTATATACTTTGTATCTTTTCCTTTCCAATCAAAAATGTAACTTCAAAAAACACTCCAATCCTTATAATTCTTGTATCTATTCTTCTTCAATCAGAAGTGTAGCTTTGGAAAAAATACACTCCAATGTTTGTATCTGTTATAGGGTGTGGGAGTGGGTGTGGGTGTGAGTGTGGGTGTGGGTGGATGTGGGTGTGGGAATGGGAGTGGATGTGGGTGTCGGTGTGGGTGCGGGTGTGAGTGCGAGCATTTTGGATACATGAATCGTAGCCACAATTCACCCACACCACACACAACCCACTCACCCACACCCACATCCTCACATCTGGGGTGTGGGTGGGTGCGGGTGTGTGGGTGTGGGTGTGGGTGTGGGTGTGGGTGTGGGGTGTGGGTGGGTGTGGGGTGTGGGTGTGGGTGGGTGTGGATATCTTCTCATCACACCCACACCCACACCCACACCCACACCCACACACACACCCACACCCACACCCACACACACACCCACACCCACACCCACACCCACCCACGCCCACACCCCACACCCACACCCAGAATATTAGTCAAGTGTTATCATTATATAAGACGGTGGAGGTTAATAGAGAAGAGACCGATCATAGGTTCAATAAAAACGAAAAGATTAAATGGAATATTAGACATTTCATTTGAGATCCAACTCACTCTCACCTCTACATAATTTATTTCTGCTTTCAACTGTATCTGTAATTTTTTTTCTTTTCATATTTTCGTATAGTTACTTATAAGAGAATATAATATATTCTTTTCTCGAACAGATTTTTTTTATCTTATCTGATTGTATAAATAAAAAAAACGACGAATTCTGTGCAATATGTAGATTGAATAATGGTTGACGATGTCATTGGAAAGGTAAATTATCTAACAACAACAATAGACGGGTCCACTCCTTGGTTAATAGCGTCTTTGGTACCGGTGTCATTAAGATCAAATCTTGTACAATCATCGGTTGATGTTACTATTCACGACTTACGAGGCAAAGAAAACAGTGTCAATCTAGATACAAATGCTCTTGAAGTGGCCAAATACAATGGTTGTATACAAGAAGAATTTGAAGAAGGCAGCGAAACACAAAAAATTTATTATGAAGAGATTATTGATCTTCTAAAGAAGCGTCTAGGTGCTTCTCGGGTAATTATCTATCATTATGTATTTCGCTCTCGAGGTTCATCACTAACTGATGAAGAATGTAATATGACTCACAGAAATCCAGTGTTTTATCCTCATGTTGATACCGATGCATCTATAGTTAAAAGATTGGTAGAGAAATTACTTAACAAAGAAGAAGCTGAAAGAGCAATGAAAAATCGAATTCAGATTATCAACATCTGGCGTCCGATAGGTCAAAATCCAATAACAGAAAAACCGTTGGCCATTTGTGATTATCAATCGGTTGATGTTGACAAAGATGTTCATCCTCTATCAATTCGTGACACTGATTGTCATCCAACAGGTTATATTATGTCTCGCAATTATCAAGATAAACATATTTGGTACTATTTAAGCCAAATGAAATCCGACGAAATGTTTTTATTTAAAATATTTGATAGCAAACCTAATGTTGCTCAATTTGCCTTTCATACAGCTTTTATTAATCAAAATGCATCAACATCAAATGACAAACAGAAAAGTCTTGAAATTCGTTGTATGATTTTCTACGATAAATAATACAATTTGTTGTTAATCAATCATAATATATAAAAGTAGCAACATTATTTAGTCAGTAATCCATTTGAAATGAAGACAAATATGTGTAGATTAGACATAAAAACTTACTCAAATAAAACTGTAATGAAGAGTACACTAGAAATTTTTCTTAGATAGATACACATGATCAATAACTGAAAAATAAACAACAATCATTTCAAATAATTATCGATATAAATATTTTAATTAGTAAATTAATAGATTAATTATCAAATTCAAGGTAAATAGACCAGAGATTGAACTTAAATGGAAAAATTCAAACGATTTTCTCTCAATTGTAACCAAGTGTCTAGAGACTGGTGTTTTTTTTGTTTCTTTCGCTAGGTTCCATTGATTCATTTTTATGATCTTTCAGTGAACTGTTAAATTTAAAAAATTCTTTCTTCTTTAAGAATTACAATTTGAATCTGGATGTGATGGGATCATTTTTCTTGCATTGATTTATATTGATGATCTTTTTAACGATATCGATATTTCTCTTCGTAATTACAATGAAAAACAAGAATATTTAAATGCTTTAAAAAATTACAATCGAACATTGAATATTGATCAAAAGATTATTCTATTTATTTCAAATTATTATTAATATCAAGAAAATATAACTCATACATAGATTGACGAACTTCGGACATGACAGGTGCCAATGTCCATGGACAGCAAAGAGAAAGACGATTAACATGAGGCAAGAGTTTATGTTGAGTTTGTATTGATTAAGAATTAATTGAATATTCAATTTTCAATAAACGAACATCTGAAAAATGGCTTAGATCATCGATCTCATACGAATGACTATCCATCAATATCAATTGAATGATAAGTGATGTGAAATATTGTATGACTTGATCATTGACATTTTCCGATGGCAACAAAATGAGAGAGAGAGAAAGATTGCCGAGCGATCGTAGAAATCGATTGATTCGTTGATTAAATCCAAAAATACCGGTAAAAATGCTGAGTATTCATGTAGTGGAGAATATCGAGGAAGAGCTCATGGGTAAGATCTTCCGAATGTGTTGGAGTATTGTTGCTCATTTGTTGAAATACAAGTCCACCCATTAATAGCGAAACTATATATATACTATAAACACAAATCAATACCTTATACTGATACCAACAGTTGAATTCTACCAGGGGACGTAGGTAGGAGTTTTTTAAGAAGAAGGCCCGAGCTTCTTAGAGAAGCTCATCATGAAGAATGAAAAATTTTTGTTTATGCAGACTTCTTCTACTTATATTTCTCTAGAGGAGTTTTCTTCCTAAAGACAGGGCCGGGCCTCCCCCTGACTACGTCTCTGAATTCTATCCATTTTGGTGAAAGAACAAATCGATGATCTTAGTTTAACACTATATAATGTGTAATGTTTTTATCACCATTACACTTACCTGACTCTGATCAATACATTCTACCGCTTCTATGTGTCCATTATGTATTTTCTTTACTATGCCACCATTTGATCACTTCCTTCTCTTTTATTATAACGCGCATGCAAAGAGAGAGAGAAAACACATTTGAAGAAGTCAATTAGCCGAATAAACATCGTGCAGAGTGGCAACAGCATTCATCCCGTTTATTTCTCGCCACAGTACGGATGTGAGTGTGGGTGTTAGTGTGGGTGCGGGTGCGGGTGCGGGTTTTTACTTCATACACACCCATACTTACACCCACACCCTCGAGGCTTTGCCTACGAAAAAATAGGTCCTGCGGTCTGTTGAAGACTTGAGAAAAAGTGTCAAACTTATTTGAAAAAGAATTGCAAATATGACAATGATTCTTTTCAGTGGACGGTAGCACCGCTGATCGACAATCTTCTCATTGACACTTATCATTATTTAATCAGAGTGCATAGTGGTGCAGGGAAAGAATCAGGTACGACATTAAATATAAGTTTTGTTATGTCTGTGGAATTGACGGATAGTGGCATACGGAAATTAACTGATGAGAAAAGTCACGTAAGTTTATTTGACATCTGAAGCAGCAATTTCAAAGGTTTGCACTTGAGCCAGCGTTCTCTTTTTCAATCGAATCATTTGGAATTTTTTATACAAATATTCAATTAAACCGAAGAGATTTAACGCACTGAGACCCAGCCATCTACGAAAAATTGAAGAGAAAAAAATCCAGACATTTTCTTTTTCACTTACAGACCGCTTTGTCCACCGAGATCCGAAATAAATGATGACCATGTATAAGTTGCCTTTTCTTCATATGTCGTGACATAGGGATTTAATGGAATGACAGATAATCGAAGATAATTTCGATCTAAATAATACTCTGAATCATTCGCAAAATTCGATGGGATTAGAATGGTCGAATTCGAGAGAATTGAATTTCGATAAAATAATTTTTCCGGATCACTGGGTGCTTTGAGGGCTGATAATACACTGGAATATTTATACATGATACATTGTGATTGACAATGAGAACACCGGTCTCCTCGAAGATTTGAATCCTTGACCAGACGTTGTTGAACGTTCATAGCACAGTAATATTCCGGTGTCCACGGTGTACATATCCTCATCCAACGAAGTTGACCATCAATGACCAACTAGAACGAATCTCAAACAATTCCAGGTATTCAATCAAATTTTTTTACCTGATTGAGATAGAAATAAGTGGGAAACGTACAGCCACATTGCTCATACATGTATACTTGTTTACATAATTCAAAACAAACCGTTTCCGAATACGTATAATCGGTATGGTTATCAAATAATCTATATAATGCTTTCATATCGTCCGACATCGTTTTTGTACATGGTGTATAAGGTGAGCCTAAATAGGTGGAAATCGTTTTTTCATATAAGATTTTGTGTTCAAAACTAGGTGCAAATTGTTCTCCTGCATAATGCATTAATGGTTGTTCATTCGGATGATGTAGAATAGCAGTTAGACCAAGACCATCATCAGGGCTGAGAAAAGAGAGTTCAATATTTAAGTAGAATGTTACGGAGAGACCACTGCGTCCATTCAGAGGATGTTCACTGACGTCATTGATTTGAAATAACTGTTTTTTCGTGTCAGTAGTCTGCTGATTGAATGTGTAACAATTCCCTAAGAATGGTGATACAGTTGTAGTCCACATATCTTGACAATCGTAACCATTGTAAAAACAATCGAGGAGGATATCTTCGAGTTGAAACCCATACCACAACAGTAGATCGATTTTCTGTTGATTAATGAGATCAACTACGAAATTTAAGGCATAATAATAAATGTCATTTAGCGTGATCGTGCCTGGTGATGCTGAAAGGTTGTGCGAGAGAATGTAAGCTTCAAGGTCTGGAAGATATCGATCCTTTCGAAATGGATTTCCACTACAGATGGTTACAGCGGGAAATAATTGAGAATAATTCAAAGCAATCTTTACTCGTGTTTGAGTTGGATATGCTAAAGAGAAAGGAAGACTGACATGGTTAGTGATGAAAACTAATCTACCGAAATATTGTTGAAAGCAGCTGGTAAAGAAATAAATCATGAAGCCAAGAGCGACAGTAGTGAGTGTATACTTAAACACGAGTGGAGAATCAAAGCGCATCATTGCAGTTCTAGAACAGAAATGAAATGTTCACGGAGATTCTTCTATGCCTTTTATGCAGCAAAGTGAGTCTCAATACAAGACAGGAAAACAATCGAAAAAATGGATATTTTTCTCCGGAGAAGTTGCCACTCTTTTTTGGAATGTTCCTTTTTCTCTCCGATAGGAATTCAAATCTGGAAGTGTCCGAAATTTCGTTATGAGTGTGGAATCACATCTTGGTCCGTTACTCTACCGTTGTATCTGGCATGATAAGGATGCGGGTGTGGGTACTATTAGAAACACACCCACACCCACGCCCTTGAGTACTTTTGATGGTCTATCAAATGGTATGGCATCTTCTCTTGTATTAATTAAACTATCAACATAAGAATGTAATGATAAATTTTTCGAAATCGATTGACATAATATTTTATTCACAAAAAAATAATCTGGTTTATAAATACATCTAATAATCTGATTATACAACACTCTTATTTAACTAGTACATATTTGTTCTTCACTATTTTTTAGGAATATCATTAATCATTTTTTACAATCATTACAAGTTTTTTTTTTTCATTCTTTATTCAATCTAATTTTCGGCTGTTCAAAATTTAAGAATTATTCTTCTCTTACTTTTTCGATAGGTCACATACGTCAGCAAATTTAGCATCACCTTCTTCAGATAAAATTCGATCAATGAACAATTTGTCAATAGTTTCTAATACAAGTTTTGTTCTTTGTTTGATATCAGCATCATCTTGAAATATACAGTTTCTTTGACATAAATTGTGAATATGTTTACAATCAACTTTCTTAATAAATTTCGCAAAGTGATTCATAATGAGCGTGAAATAAACGACTAAGAAAACCAGGTATTCATATATGCTACTTTATCAGAAAATCTTTAGAAAAAAAATCATATAGCTTGTTCACAGGTAACGCACTCACAAAAACGGCCCTCTTTTTTTTTGAGTGATGCCAGAAATAGTAAAATTTTTACGAATGCTTACTTTATAAATTCGTATAGCCGGGAGCAAGTTTGTAGCGAAGAGTCTGAACTATCTACTGTAAAAAGTAGTTTTTGAAAAATGCTTTGTTTCTCGTGAGCTGCACACCAAATACTGCCGCAGTGTACTCATACCACTCGAAGAAATTTTCTAAAACTGCTATTTTTACAACATTGGCAGGAACATAAGATAATCGACTGATGTCAAACTGCAGTTTTTGCGTTAGCATGACTACTAATAAATCCATTTTCATCAGAAACAAAACAGTGCCCAAAATATGGTAAGAGAAAAAACGCATCTTCAAGCTATTTTCAGCCAAAAATGCGTCGCTTTGGGTGTGCAAGGTGTGGGTGTGGATGAACGTCTACGTCTCTCTCGCACTCACACCCGAATCCACAGCAACATTTTTCTGTTCGAAAGCAATAACACATCGCAATGGGCTTGTACCTTAGTGATTCATGAATGAATTGCATTTTGTTTGTAGGGTTCGAATCTGTTCTTTATTTCGAATAAAGGAAAAATAATCAGCAAGAAGCGACTAACCTGAAATCAGTGGAAAAAACTTAGTAATTATTGTTGAGCTGTCATCAAATGTCTATTTGAATTTTCGCATGATTTGAACAAAATGTGGCGATGATTGATCGATGCCTGCTTCGAAACGCAATCGTCGCATACGTTGTTCGATGTCGTTATTGGCTTCGAATGCTCGAAATCGATCTGGTCTATGGAAAAAATCTCGATCATGTAATGGATCATTGAAATGAGGAGATATTGGATTGGGCGTTCGTGATCGGTGGTGTTTGACGACACGAAGAATTTGTTGATGATGCTCTTCAACCCAATGAAACTTTGGCGATGGTGTTGATGGTCGTCGATCTTTTTTAATGGGCTCAACAACAGGAAGGGAGCTTGGATTATGTAGAAATTTCTTGAATTTCACCACCTCGGGCCGATCTTTGTTACGATTGGCATCTTTTCTATGAATATTACTGAATTTTTTTTTTAACATTCAGTTTATTGTTCCATAAAGCTTAACAAATGATAAGGATATAAAACTATACGCCCAATACAAGAATATTTAAAAGAAGTTTATTTTACCCATATAATCAGATCCTAAACCTGTCAATCTTTCTTCTTATCCACCTCATTTACCTACTTATTTTTTTTGTGAAACACGATCTGAAAGGAGTGTTGAAGTGTATAGGGTAGAAATTTTGGACCCACTCCCCCCCTCCCCCACAGACCGTGACAGAGAAAATTCATACCCATCACAGACCGTGACAGA